CATCACTGTAAAAAATAGCTAATTATACACATATATAGGTTTATAAGAAACTTCATGTGTATTTCGTGATTAATTCTCCTGAAGATGGTGAAATTATTTCCACCAAAACATGTAGAGTTTTTAAAGTTGTTTTAACTCATATTTTTTTAAACTTTACATATAAATTATTGTGAAAGTAAAAAATATTATTGTCTAGTTTTATTAATTTTATTTACAATTTTTTGCACAAGAACTGTCTGTTTTACGTATTAACTCTCAACACGGGCTCGGTCCATGGGACCAATCTTGTAACCATTTTGTGCTTGTTATAATTTTCATATTATATCTTTTAAATTAGTAAGTGAATGTTAACAAAATTTGGCAGTTTATCAGTAAACATTACAATGCTTTCATACACAATATCTAATTTTTTTTATTAAATTTTAACATTTCTAAAGCGATGTTTCTCTTGTGTCTTTTTTTCTTTTCACATCTTGCTTATCTATCATGCAAAGTAATTTTCATATTAACATTAAAAATACTTTTTTGCATCAGAAACTTTTGAAATTTCACATGCAAAATCTTTATAATGTGCAAATAGTTATCAAACATTGCTTAAGAAAAAAACTTTGTATTTTTATCTGTTATTTTCAATAATTAATCCCTGTATGGGTTCGGTAAATTTGACCGATCTTGCAACCACCAATAAAAATTTGGAAATAAACATAAATCATGCATCTTTCATTCTAGAATGAACACAAATTATAACACGAAAACATAAATGTTTAGATGAAATGGGTTAAATCTCATAACATTATACATTTATTATTTTTATTTTATTGACTTTTCACCTGTGTCAGGCTAACAATACAGAAGTTACAATGATGTGGCTCACGTGCCCTTATGTTACCGTATCAAATAATATCAAGGTGACCTTTGGTCTGTACAAAGTAACTTGTCTTGGCTGTGCTTTAATCGACTAGTATTTCGTAAAATACAGTCACATTTCAATTATCATACATTATATATGCATATAGATTATTGCTATTTTGAAATAAGTTCTTAAAGTTATTTTTCCTAAAACACAGAACAGTAAACAAA